AACGCAGGACGGGTACTGCCGACTGCCAAAGTGCTTAACTGATGTATTGTAATTTCTGTACGGTGCAGTGCTAAGTTGTCGGCATTTATCATTTACTTTTTCTTTTTTTTAACAGGATTTAGAATTTAGAATTTTCTTGTCCATTGATTAATCTTCAAACACAGGTTTCTTTTTACATTAACTCAATCGTACTGTGAAGATACGGGTCCACTGATCTGCCGTCACTTTTGTCCCAAAACAAGCAGCGCAACAATGATCAGATAGTAGAAACTTTGTAATAACTTAGTTTGAAAAATAAAATTTGAATAGTTTATTAATTTAGAAGAAAATTTTTAGCTAGAAATCTTTCTTAATTATGGCAAAAAATTGTCTGAACTCTAATTTGAGCATTGTTGTGCGCATACTACATTTAATTTTTTAGCAGAAACTAGATACGAATTAAGTACAGCGTTGTTGTCTGCTCTGAAAGTAGGAATAATTTTTTTGTATCTACTTGTTCTTTTTTTTGAACATGAAAAAAATGACATAATTATAAAAATTAACATTATAAGAAAAACTGAGCTTTTGTTTAAAACCTCACCTTGTGTACCCATGGGGTATTTTTACGTCTTTTTTTTGTTATTGTTGTTGTTATTAGTTTTTCTTATCCATTGTCTGTACATGGAGATTCTGTGTATTTGTAGAGACGTCTTCTGGTTCATAGAGGCGTGCCAAAACAAAATGGCAGACGTATCAATGCATACATTTGCTTGAATACACAGATTTTCTTAAGACATAATACGGTAATGAACATTTTATTAAATACATATGTACAGCTCTGTATTCGTGTAAAAAATTGTTTGTGTATGTCAACTGTTTATGCTCCGGTTAAAGTATAAGCATTTGGCTAAATCGTGCCTAATGCAGACATATTTTATATGTACATTGTTTTGGCCAAACAGATGGTCACCGAAACAAAAAGCTTGTGAAACAAGCTTTATTTTCAGCGACGTTAAAAGACAAGCAATGACTGCAAACACTTCCTACCTTTTTTTTAATTTAAAATTAAAATGCTTTGATGCTGAATTCCCACTTGATGTAACGTGTTGGGTATTTTATAGTACCGTTTCTTATGCTTATTTTTACCCAAGGTTTTTGTATATTTGCATATTTTGCGAGGCAAATGTAGTGATATTTATCTATATTGTGTAGCCAACAGTTCTTTGAAGACTTAGAGCTAGCGAAGTGGATAGTTGACTGCTTGTTAAACTTGGGTTACATAATCTGGATAAGTACAAAGGAAGCAAAATATGGCGGTATTTTGAATATTTGGGTCAAAAATGACAATAAATCTTACGCACTTTATTATCCGCCGTAAAAAATCAAATCCTAATAACACTCATACATATTGGCTGCTGCACGTACTGTACTTATAACCAACGGATGGAGTTCTGTTTTGTACTGCCATTTCTTGAATGATCATTCCTAGAAGCAAATGGATTTCTCGGTTCACCCAGTTCAGGTGATTGGAGGAATGACTGATTCAGGGACTTTTGAGGAGTACTTTTTTTGCACAGATCGCTTAAATAATTGGAGTTATTTTTGTAATCATTAGAGTTGATATTCAGTAAACAGGTTTAAAAGGCGGTATACGCCTAAATAGCGTCAGAAAAGTGGAAAAAATGCTGCAGTGGTACATATACCCTAGGCTTAATACTTTGCAGCATAAACTTTCTGACCTACCAGTTACTAGACTCTGTTGTGCACCAAAGCTGATAAGCGCACATACCTGCTTACCAGAATATTACTTTAACTTCTTGCAGTAACTCCCAGTAAAATTTCATTGCACTCCTGTTTCCTCAATTTTATGTAAACGTTGACTTTCCATAGTGGTTCTGTGCAGTTTAAGTCAGTGTGGCTCGAGCCGCCACTTACGACACTTCAAACTATCACTGAACGTTCATCGTATTTAGCAGTAGTTTTACTATACACTTAATTCTAAACTGTCCGTCTGTTTCCTGTCCTGCACATATTTTGCCAATGTCACTTTCTGAATTAAACGTAGTGTCGCGGCTACCAACAGAATCTTCAAGCTCAGGGATATTTGCTATAACCTTCTTCCATACGTTCCTATGGAAGACTCTTCTACTCCTTTTATTTTCTTATAAGTTATAATATAGCCGCTTATTATCTTACAAGAACGCGTGCTTCTAGAGGACTGTAGTTAATGTAACCTAGTGTATGATCAGTTACTACTTAAATTTCTATTACTTCCCCTTTTTGCTTGTATTCTCAGGAGCAATAATTTAATCTGTTTCTTAATGTTAAATACTATTACGCAGGAATAAAGCAAACTTGGTAATTAATTAATTAACTCTTTTAGAATAATACAAGAAGAATATTTAACAAAAACGAAAAATCAAACTTAACACAAAATTGCAAGAAGAGGATGAAGAAGAAGTTTAAGTGTTTGAAACCACAGGAGTTACTGCACGCAGCCAGAATTTGTATTCAAATAGTTATCATTAAACCTAAATGAAAAACTCAGCTGGTTGATGTGGCTTCGCTCATCGGCCGAATCTGGCAACTCCATCCGCTTGGCCTCCAAAAGCGTCCCTTTGGGGTCATACCAGGATAGATGCAAAAGTGACTGAACAGTAATTGGACAGCTGTGCACTTTTGACAGTTGGTGATTGCTTTCAGTCGGACTTTTTCTCCTTCTACCTCTTCTCTACATTCCCTCTTTTAATATCTGCTAAAGCAAAACTTGGAACGCTTGTATAAGCAAGCTTAGATCTAACTAAAAACTCCGCAATTCTAATGATGCAGTAGATAAGTTCAGCTGTTTGCTGCTTGCATCATTCCAAAAACTGTGAAAATCTTTTAAAAATTAATAAACACAGAAAGCAAGTTTTGGTCTTAAAAAGGAGCCAAATGGCTTAAAAGAACGGCTTAAAACGAACCAAAAGATAAGCTATGGTAAGTACTCGTTGCTGTTCTGCATAATTAGCAAATAATATTAAAACCACAAACGTTTAACATAGGCAAACTAAAACACAGCAGACCGGTTAACAATATTGGCGTCTTCCTGTCCCATTGTATGGTTACTAAAGCAAAAGGTGCAGACGCCAAGAAAGTATCGGCTACACTAGCGTGCTTTCATAATATTCTGACCTCCAGTGCGCATACGTAAAATTATCTACAAACAAAACAGAAAGTCAGCTGAAGTAGAATTGCAGGTGATAACCCCAGAAGCTTGTAAAATAAAGTTTGAATTGAAAAGATCATTCTTAAGTGAAAAAGTGAAAAGAAAAAGCCCATTTTCACTCGTCGAAATTTGAAAAAAGTTTTGAGGACAGTAAAAATCTGTCCTTCAAAGCAAACGAAATTTCTTGACAAACGACTTACTACCAAATGTCTATTCCATCATCAGTACAATGGAACAATGGTTTTTCCTTACCGATTCCAAAATCACGCTTAACTGCTTCGTACTGCAGATAAAAACACTGAGGCAAGTGAAATTCAAATTTTTTTGCTGACACAGTCTAACATGCTCAAATCTCGTCGCCTGATCCAAAGAAAAGATATTTGGAAACTCAGAACAGTGTATACAATCCAGAAATTTTGTAATTTCTAAATAAAGAAAAAAAAGAGAAAATTAAAGCTAAATCTGATACAAATACTTCAGTTTTTAAAAACATTTGGTTACAAAAAGCAGTCCTACTTCCGACCTCTCAACTGAAAGACTGGCAAAATCAAATACTTGAAATTTAACTGAGTTCAACAATTAGTCTACTTAAAAGACAGTGACTACACAATTCAATCGCAGAACAAAGTCCACGAAAGTCAAAATCTTGGAGATTGCAAAGCATCCCTTAAAATGTGCTTTTTTCTCTGTTTCCAATTTTAAACCAAAGATAAAACAATAAGCTGTGGCCTTGTTTACCGTTACTATTAAACCTCTCCACCAACTATTACTTTCGACGAAGGGCAATTTCATCTATGGTCGGTTCATTCGTTTTTAGCATTTCAGAGATTTTACCGTATATTCTTTAGGATATTACTTTTTAAACGATGAGGACAATTCTTTGAAAGTTTTATCAGAGGTTCTTCATCCACCATCTGTAAAAGTTCCAGTAAAAATCCACCACAAGAAACAGTATAAGAAAACATCAGCAAAGCATAGCTTCAACTGGGCCTCCGCTGAGTGCTACCCAGAAATCTAACTGGGATGGAAGTAAACAGAGTTGGAATAGAAACGCAATATCTACGGAACCACACAAAGCATCAGCGCTGTCAAACTAACAGCTTAGGGAACTACGCCTTACCGAGACAGTACTGACCGTAAAAAAAAAATAACTTGTCGTAATTACTTGTACGCCGTGAAGGAGAACACAGATACGAGCAGGTTATTAACTCACTACTTCCAAAAATGTTGACTTAACTTCAGATTCCACGCAAAAATCTGAAACCTTAAACTGTTCACTTCCGCAGTTCATTACATGCACCATCTGCCTCAGACGCATAGAGCTGACAATGCAACTTCAATAAACTCCGGTGCGGTAACCAAAAATCAAGCTAGAAATACCCCGCAAGAAGAAATTGTCAGCCTGAATTTGCCAGTCACGTTGGCTTTGTTTACATTTCTTTCAAAGCAGTAAAATGCAACGAACTGTGTTTATCCACATCTTATTAAATGCTATGGCACTAAAGTAAGAGGC